AAATTTCAAGTACTTTGGTTAAGTCTATGAAAGGCATCCAAACACATACATGTATTTACAGAAATACTCAATTTCTGAAAATTTAGCTTCATTTGGCCCTCCTTCCCAATGCTTCGTGCCTTTTTCATATCCTGCTTCTATAGCTGTGTGTCAACATGTAGGCTGACACCCTGCATTGGTTACTGGCTGACCTCCTTTCCTAAAATACAACCTGAAACAGAGGAGCCCAAATCTTGTGCTCACTTCTACGGCTGGTTCAGCCAGTACTGGACAAGCAGAGGGAGAGAATTTATAGCTCAGTATTTGGACTCTGGACCAGTTAATGATACATTTGTCAGTAGTGATCCTAAATACATTTATTTTTTTTAATGGCCATAAATGAACTAAAAAGAGCTTCACAACCTGCTCAGTGAACTGATGATTCAAAACTCTTGGTTGTATATGCTTTTTTTTTTCTTTCATTTAGATATTGCCAGTCAAAAAATAACCAGGTTTTAAATAAATACATTTTCAAAGATGTACATGCTACAGTTCTAATATAAGATTTAATGATGAGTCAGAGTAGCTGGAGATCTTTAAAGTTCAGCTAAGCTCATAAAGGAAAAGCCCCCTACACTCTCTCAGGGATGAGGTATCAAACCTATTTGGGACTTGAGTAGGGATGGGTATCGAAACCGGGTTCTTGTTGAGAACCGGTTCCCGCTGTTTCAATTCTTTGGAATTGTTTGCCATTTTTGCAAACGATTCCCCTATCGATTCCAGTCGCCCGAATGACGTCACCACGTTACGGAGCGTCATTTACCTGGCAAGAAAGATGGTACCTAAGCGGCTTGTAGGCAGGGACATTACTGGATATTCTTGTGTAATTGCTACAGAATAATTTATGTTATACTTTGTTATTGCTACAGAAGAATATTTATTTTATTATTTTACATTTACATTTTTTTTTCTTCCCGGGGACCCTGTGACACCCCATTGAAGAGCCGTAGCCTGTGGATCTCACTGTTGGGTTTGTAAGGCCATGTTACTCCTAAATTTCTATCTTGTTCAAGTGTCAAGTGTTCTCCTTTTTAATAAAAAATAAATAAATAAAAATAAAGAATCGAATTGTTAAACAGAATCGAAAACTGAATCGGAATCGTGAAAATCTTATCAATACACATCCCTAGACTTGAGAAGTCTTAATCATTGGGATTTTGCCAAAGGAAAGAAATCGCTTTAGACTGAGTTGCTAAGCAGACATCAGAAAACTTGGTGTAGCTCCTAGAGTGTACCACCTTCTTCTCCAAAGCCATGAATGTGTGATAAAGCTACAGTGAGAGGTGCACCTGTTTGGGCTTAGCTGTAATGTTGTATTTCACTTCTTCATTCCACTGGTGGAAAATAAATGTAATGGGCCACAGTTTCAAACCGTGACATGCAAATAGTTCTCGGTAAGGTTTTGTTTAATTTATGGAGGTGGATCTTATAGCAGCAGATGCATGCTCCCATTAACGTGATGAAATGGAAACCATTCTGCACACAAGTAGATTGCATCCCTTCTTCTCTGCTTCCTTTCTCATGGTCTCTACAGACTGTATACATTACATTAGATAAATCTTATAGACCTATATAGAACAGAATAACCTAGAATAATCTACTGCATTGATCGATTTAATATGCAACCTTGGGCAGCTTGTCTATTGTTTGCATAAACAGTGTCGTGGACATTGAGATCTTCTTCCTATAAAAGACTTGCAGAAGAAGCCAAACTGTTTGATGTGCAGGGGGAAATATGATTGAAATCCAAGTGGGAATGTCTTGTTTCTACATTGTCAAAGTCTGTGAAATCACCTTAGGCATTAATTCCAATATCATGTTGGACCTCTCACCCTTGGCTCTTGACGGAAGCGGTCGCACTTTCTCCTTCTCCCTTATCTTTCCTGCTTGGCTTCTCATGTCTTTTGTATAGTCTCACTTATTCTCTAACCCTAAGAGAGTCTCCCAGACTTGTTCTCTAGAAACATAAAGAAGAATTATGGATTTGATCAACTGGTCCCTTAACGGAATTGACACCCTCCTGGGCTTGGGAGAGCCCGATTGTCCTACGGAGACATTTGCTGCCAGATACTCGATGGTCGGTTGCGTCGTGTGTCTGGCAACACTCTCGATGGAGGACTTTGAACGACATCTACCAATTCTGAACTACGGTAACAGAGTTCTGGCTGATTGGAGCTGGCTCAGACCTGGCTTATCAAAGAATAAGAAGTGGCTACAGCTGTTCAAAATCCCACAAGGCTGCCCGACATGATAGACGATGGGCAGGGCTGTGAGTGCTCAGACTGTTGTTTTTTTTTTTATTTATTTATTTTTTTTATTTAATTTAATTTTTTTACGCAATATGGATAACATCTTGAAGAAGAACAACGGGAATTGAGAGACCTGGTGACCAGTGACGGACATTAGACCAAATTGGAAGCAGTTTGTTCGCACTAACCAAAACAACTACCATCTTCATCTCATGTCACCCCCCTGGATGCTCAAGGCAAAAGCTGATGGGAATAAAAATTCTCCCTAGATAATAAGACTGTTTGTTATGACTCTCTCCCTCCTCATTCAAGGTCACCCGCGTCTACCGAAGATTGTTGACTTTTGCTTAACCGGGTGAAGGGGCACTTTCTCTCGGTTGAACACGGAACACACACACGCACATATACGCATGTACACTGACACAGACCTACACACACTCCCTGTTGGAACGCAGTCTGGGGGGAGTTCTTCTTTTCTCCTCGACTTTCCTCATGTTGTGCATTTTCCATTGTTGTTAGGTTCCAGGCCGCTGCTCGTGCGGCTGACCGGCCAGTTACCTAGCCTGACCTGTCTCCCCAATGTGATGTTTGTGTATTGTATGCACGATCGGGAAGGTCAGTCTCTTAATTGCCCCTTGGGGATAAATAAAGTCTTCTGAATCCTGAATGAATCCTGAATGTTCATCAGCTTAAGTCCATGTCAGTCATTATATTCCTGAAATATGTATTCATGCCTCATAAACAGCTGAGTTCTGTCTGCTGGAAGGAGACGCAAGCATCCTTAGGAGAAGCTTCTCCTCAGTGTTCACATTTGGATAAAAGGATTCCAAATGGTAACGCTTAGAACAATTCAAAACTTAGCAGGTGTCAGCATGGCAGTTGTAAGCCCTACTTCTGCCTCTGAGGTTCAAGTTCTCGCCACTAACCGTTGCAGACAGCATACTTTACTCTCTGCTTTCAAAAGCCTAGAACTATGTTGTTCTCTTGGTAGAGAGATAATCAAAATCTAACATTAAGTGGTGCTTAAGCACGAGAAATGTTGACCATGCAATGACCCAGAGCCAAGGACATTAACACCAATTACTGGGCTTCACATGTATTTGCTGCAGATGCATTTCAGGCTGCATTCTCTCACTGATATTAGGACGCAATCCACTGTTATCAAAATTATGTTCTCAAGGCAGAAAGTAAACAAATTTAAAGTACATATTCTATATATGTACACACAGTGTATACAGGATTGCATCTATAGTTTTATGAAGCTGCCTGTGAAAATGGCCTTCTGTGTTTATAAATGGGTTAGAACTGCATGGGTGCAAATGTAAAAATATTAGGGATACCTCCCTGTTAAAATACAGACTTCCTGATCATATTGTAGCTACTAGCACACTGCATTACAACCGGCTTCCTAGTTTCAGTTATATCCATCCAATATCCAGGCATATGTAAATGTGTGGACCCCATGATCCACGGTTTCAGCATTGATTTAACTTCCTTTGTAAAGCCAGTGAATAAGACTTATGCCTCTGCACCAGCTGTACACTGTCAGCTGAAGCAGTTCACTTAATACACTTGTGTTGATGGTTTCTTTACACAAATTGCACTTAAGGGCAATAAACATTTACCCGCATGTGGAAATTCATCCTGTTAAAATGAGGCAACACCTTTTGCTGGTGAAATTAATCCTATTTAATAGTGCTGTGTTTAGCTTATGCTGCATGTACTGCGTTACGTAATGTGGGGTCATACAGCTGTAGGTGAGTGGCTGTCACGACTCTAACAGGAAGGAGGTTGGGGTAAGAGGGAGGAAGAGCTATGTCTCGCCTAGAAGTGTATGTGCAATCAGTGTCCTTCCTTGATATGATACAGTGACGTGCAGGATTTATAGTATCTAAAATTGTTTCAGGATAATGTGACAATGACACTCGGAAGTGGGGAAGAATGTCTGTAAAATGCTGTGTCACCAGCAATCTCTGCATCCACCGTCTCTTCTTGTTGCCCTCCCTCCCTCTGTTCTCTGCCACGTATTTGCCTTCTGCGCTACATCAGTAGCTGCTAGTGTGACCGTTTTGTGGTGGGATACTGTCCCAACAGTGGGATGCGTTCTGTCTCTCTGTTGGCTTCAGGTTGTGCATTCCTTTTTTGGGGGCATTTTTTGCGCATACAGCTATCAGTAAACTGTGTGTGTTTGAGCCACAGCGTACTGCAGTCAGTGGCAATCGGAGCATCTTCTGGTGGTCAGCGATGCACTCGAGGCTTTACCACCTTGTTGCTGAGGGAGAAGCATATTTCTGAAGGGATGTCGGTGAAGGGTGAACAAGGAGGAGGTGGGGGGAGGAGGAAGAGATGAGAAGGAGATGGGGAGAAATGCGAGCATGCGAATGTGAGAGAGGGAGGGAGGGAGGTAGATGCGCATGCAGAGGGTGGAGCTTAGCATCAGGCAGTTCCCTCCGTCTTCCTTTCTCTCCTGTTTTCTCTTCTCACAGTTTCCCCTCATCCACATCGCTGGGCACATCTGCAGTCATTTCAACTCTTCTGCTTTTGTCTCACTTGTAACTCAGCTGATCCACTGGACTGCTGCGCCTCTCTGTACAGTTTTTCCAATTTTTTTTATGGACTATCATCCTTTTTGCCAGCAGTGCAACAGGGGCTGTCTTCAGACACGAGCGTGCACCCCTTTCTGGGAGTGGTGGGGGGGTGGGGTGGGGTGGGATCCTGACTTAGAGCCAGGGCTGCTGTGTTGTCCCACAAAACCTCGAGATAAGGGGCAAACCTGCAAAAGCTGCGGGGGGGTGGGAAGCGGGGTGGCAGGCAGAGGGGGTCGAAGCAAACGAAGGGTGGAGAGGCTCAGGAGAAGAATGGTTATGCCGGCTCCTCGTGCTCTGGTCGTGCTGCTCCTCCGTAGGCTGCGTGTCATTCAGGCACAGTCCTGCCTTTCCTCGACATGAGCCTCGCAGTAAGGGTGTCCTGCTCCATGCTCAACTGCTTTGTAAGTGTTTCATTTGTTTCCGATGGGTGTGTTTTAGGGCCCTCCTCTCTCTATCTCATCCGCCTGTGTGTTTCTGCCTCCTTTCCAGGTAGTGGAGGGTGGGGGTGCTGCTCGACACACGAGCGCTGCAGTTATTAAGTAACAGCAGTAACTTGATATAAATAATTGAATTATCTCAGAATGTTCTAGAGTACGAGGCGATGAAAAGGTGCTTCTATTGCTGTCATCATTCACCTCTGTCGGATGGACAGCTTTGAGCTACTGGTATGTTGACTGACGGGGAGGAGAGGGGGGTGGGGAGCTGCCGGGACTAGGATGGGTAAGATGTTTTCATGCATTCGCTGTTGCAGTCCCGGAGCACCAAAGTGTTCACTGCAGTGAAGGTCCTGCTTTGAATTAGGATGTACATGGGCTATGAGGAAGAGGCATGTAGAACAGGTGTTTGTTTTTGTTTATGCCTTGAGATGGTAAAGAAAAGGTTGACAACCAAGGATGTTGACCTCTGACCCCCTCAAGGTTAGCAGGTAATGAGCACAGGCAGTACAATGTGGCCATTAACTACTAACCTTCAGGAGGTCAGCTTTTCAACTACGCATTAAATCAAATCACACTTTCCTGCCAAGAGTCCCATGTTAGTAGCCACCTAAAGTTCATTTTTTGAGGCTGATATAAACAATGTCTGGTAAGATACCTAGTAAATTAAAAAAAACAAAACAACATCTTCATACACAAATGCCAGTAATTTGAGATATACATTGTTTAAAAAATGACACTTACCTTTGAAGCCAGCAGACTTTCCATAGCCAGACTTTCTTTGTGTTAGCTATTTTGTCACTAGTATGAGGACAGTAGTTATCAACTTTCTTTGTTAACTCAGACTTTCTGTTTCATGCTCACATAAAAGGGGGTGTTTGGATTTTACTTTCTTCCCATACAAAATTGGCAGATCAAGAGCCAGCTGCTTTGGCCAGAGACATCATCAGAGGAACAGGTGATGAAACTTTTTTAAAGGATATTTAAAAGAAAACAGCAAAGGAAATACAGGTGGTGAAAATAATAATTAATCTTGTGAATTCATAGGTGAACGTGTTTATTTTCACCACTCGGTGAAACCTAATTACTCGCAAATTATAAAGCTAGCATTCTTTCAGCTATCACGCTTTGAGTATGTGGTCGATAAAAGAATCAATGAAATTTTAGCCCTTCCACGTTTTATAATATAATATAAAAAAATGTTACTTAGCACCAAGAAAGCATCAGTAGTTTTGCAGGTATATAACACATCTAGAGGGAAAGATGTATTTCAAAAACTTTCATGGAAATGACAAGTTGAACAAAATATTTTTCTTCAAAAACTACAAATGTGAACCTTTTGAAAGTTTTGGGAACTATGAAATATGAAAATGAGACATTTCTAGCCTCTGGGACACATGCCAAGTCTGTACTAGTATTTCATAGTGATCCATAGTGTTTCAGATGGTTCAGCCACAGTAGAGGACTGGCATGCTGAGATCCTTTCAGGATTATCACATATATTTCACCTAGAGATTTATCAAGCTATTCCTCTGTTTCTTTATACAATACAGATTCCAAAAAAGATTTTAATAATACTGGCGAAAATGATATTGTCACAGTTTTTCTTAAAGAAAGCTTTGTTTGAAAAGCTGTCAGGTAGGATGAGTGCAGCTGCTCCTTCTCCCTCTCCTTTCTCTGTGAACAGATGTAGCCAGGCGTTCCGCAATTTATGATCTCTCTCCAATATGTCTGTGACGCAGCTGAGTCGGCACTTCTCCTGCGTCAGTGTCTGTATAATTTAGTATCCCCATCCTTTGTTGCTTAAGTGGATCAGAGCGCTGTCAGTCTTCTCCTGTGGAAGGAGGCTCCATCATTTTCATCATGGCCACCATTGTTGTGATCCCACAGTTGCGGGGGCATCTTCAGTTACTATTCTAATGTGCAATGTTGTCTGCAGTAAATGGAACTATAAACATATATAATTGAATTGGATAAGATTTTTCCATGACTCAGATTCTATTATTCCCACTAGTTAAATAAATCAGCAGTGTAAGTATAGCCAAAAGCTTATTGGGGGATGTGCCTTTAGGCTGTATCAGGCTGAATGCTAACTCTCTGCCTAATGCCAAGGTGGAAATAAACGGTAAACAGACTTTGTGTTATGACCCCTGAGGAAGACAACACAACAGAGATGAGGGACTGGGGGGAAAAAGCAAAGTGCGTAGCAAGTTATTGAAAGGAAAGGTACTTAATTTGTATTTGTTGTCTCAGTATAGCCATACCAAACCAAAGTCTGTACTAACCTATGTGAACGTTTATGCAAACCTTTTTTGGGATAATGCCAGCCAGTTTATTATATTGCTTCGTGTTTCACCAATATAGACAACCACCTCTGTACCCTAAATAATGAGTTTTGACACTCCAGTATGTATGAATAAAGACGTGGTTTGATGATCATTAGAATATTTTCCAGGCGTTTCCTAGGGTAGCTGCATAGGCGGAAAACAACTCATTTCTGATGCCAGAAATAAAACAGAATGACACCCAGTCATTCTGTTTTAAAGACAGGCCTGTAATATGGCAGAAACCACTCAGTTCAAAACAGACCTTCAAGGGTTACTCCTGGAAGACTTTCAAGGGGTAAAGAGTTAAAGGGAAAACTAACACAAAGGTGTCTCAGTAAGGGCTTTTGCCACCATAACCCTTTTCCTCATTTGGTGTTTTGAAAGTCAAACCATTCAGTGATGCCTCATGTCCTGTGGATATGGGCATTGTCTTCCTGGAAGAGGATAGAAATGTTTAAGGGGCGTCCATACAGATAGTGACAAGAGACTGTGGAATGTCGTGCACCATCTTCAAGAGGCAACAGGCAAAGTGACAGTTAAATGTGAAAGTTAAATTTTCAACTTGAAGGCAGTCAGTCGACTTGTCTACCAGTTTGAGTGACAGATACCACTGGTTGATAAGTAGGGCAAATACCACAAAGTAAAGTGCAACAAACAAATCACTTAATATGTTAATGGTCCACACAGGAGGACTTTTTATAGATTAGCAGTGACTTGTCCTGTAAGTGTGTCTAAACCAGAACACCAACATGTCCCTCGCAAGACATCAGAGCCATCAGACGCCTAGACTGTCAGGGCCATCGGTTCATGCTTTTGCTTTAACTCGCTGTTCGCTTGATCGATTTGTTCTTACTTTGCTACAAAGTGTTACTCCAACTTTGTGCATTTTGGATGAATTCTATTCACGTAAAGAAAACCCTGCCCAGTTTATTTTTTTCAGTACTTGGAGTACTGCCCAGTTATAACACAAAAATGGGATTGATTGTTTAGAACACAGTGATCGATTGAACATTAATGTAGGCGGCAACAGGACAAGGAGAAAGAAATGTATTTAGAGAGATTTGTCATAGTCTGTCATCTTTGATCTGGACTTTTTTACTTAGAATCTGCTCCCTAGCTCTACTCAGAAAAATATCTTTGGCCTGGTTATTTTTAATGTTTATATAAAATGTTTTTCATTCTGCCCTGTCTATGCACCCTCTGCCTGCAGTCATTTTCGTCCTTTTTCCCCTCGCTTTTTTATTTAGAATCATCGTTTAATATATTTATCATGTCCAACACGGCAAATGACCGAACAGTTAAAAGCAGAGATGTAAGTGCGTGTTGTCCACATATTCAGTAGGTCACCTCGGCATCCTGTAGTGCTTCTCTAATCTGAAAAACTCTGGGACAAAGCACCAGTCAGATTAAGTAAATAATCTGGTGAGTAAGGACAGCAAATTGTTAGAAAAAGCTTTTGGGTGAAAGGACCTCTAAAAAGAGGCTGTCGTATCCATGGAAACCAGACATTTATTCATGAACACTGTGCCAATGTCTCTTTCACTTTGTCTACCTATTCTGTCCTGTTTCCATTTGCATACATGCAGGACCGTTTTCACACATGCTTTCCCCAGAGAAGTAAAACTTGGAAAAAGCAACTGTGCATTATTCCCTCCACATGCACGCTGCTAATCTGCCTTGCCACAGCTGTCTCGTTGGCTGCTACAGTAGCTGATATCATAGCTGATACTGTTTTGGTTATTATTGTTATCTTGATGTTTCATGTGCTATCAACTCTGACATTTATATTTGGTAAATGCACGGAGGCGTATGCGCGCATGCCTGTCAGCTCCAGCTTTTTGAGCTGGTTGGACAAAGGTGGGGGAGGGTGCGCAGGCTCGCAGCAGTGACGAAGCAAAAACGTGTCGGGCACAGGACAAGCTGTGCTCCATCTTTGAGAGCTGTTTAGAAGTGAGAGCATCCCTGTTTTCCTTTAATCTTCTGTAAGCTGATTGTCTGCTTGTGGAAACAAAAATCACAATATGGACAAAATAAACTCCCTCCAAAAAAGTGTCCAAATGTAATGACGGTTTTTAAAGCTAGGTCTTTAAGCATCATCTTTGTGCAAAGAATCTATGAAGCTGAAATGTGCATATATCCATGTTTCCATGTAGTTCAATGAGTCTGTTCCTGTGGTATTTTTTTAAAATCTATTGCTGTTAATATAACAGCAATAGATTTTAGCTCATAGGGTAGTGTCTTGTGCTTCTAGGGCAACACATACACAACTTTTAGTTAGCTCTTCTTGTCTCTAAAGTACATCGTGTACTTGTGGGAATCAGAGAAATGCTGTGTCAGAGCTCTGCAAGAGAAAAGTATAAATGTGGCCAAGAGTCTACCAGGTAATGCTGCCTGGGGTATTTGGAAACCAAACCAGATTAGATGGATTGTTGATGGGAGATGAAAGTGTGTGGCTGTGGTCCAAGTGTGTTTGCTTTTTTTTTTTTTGTAAGATATTATGATGTAAATTGACACATTTTTACAGGAAAAACTGATTTGGAGGTTGGTTTTGGTTAACTTTAGAGTAATTGATTGTAATTGAATTTCTCAGAGGGACTATAATACTAGTGGCTGAAGTAATTTGATGTGGTGGTCGATCAGCCTGTGATAGGACCCCTCCAGAATGTGTTTCTTCTTAGAGAGGCACCACAAGTTGGTGTTTTTAAACTGAGGATTTTAACATTTGATTTGGTGGAAAACGCCATTCGTGTGATACTATATATAATCTTAATTACATGCAGTCAACTGGAGTGAAAACATTTATGCTAACTCTCCAAAAAGTTGATTCTGTTCATCTGGACGTAGCGTTTTGTGGGAGAAACGTTTCATCACTCATCCAAGTGACTTCTTCAGTCTCAGCTGACTGCAGGTTTCCCCAATCTTATAAACAGTACATTTGCATAATGACTGAAACCAGCCCACTGAAGGAACAATGGGCTGGGAGGTCAGTTCCTTAATCTGCACCTTAAACCTACACATATGGATCAGTATTTAAGGTTTGACTCTCATCATCCACTGGAGCACAAACTGGGTGTCATTAGGACGCTACAACACAGAGCAAACACCATCCCCACTGACACAGCGGCCAGGGAGGCAGAAGAACAGCACATCAAGAAGGCCCTGAGTAAATGTGGTTATCCCAGCTGGACTTTTGTCAAAGCTGGAAAGACGCTTAAAGAAAGCTCCAGCCGATCCAAGAGGGAAGGACAACTGCTGCCCAAGCGAAAACCTGTAGTGATCCCATATGTGTCAGGAGTATCGGAGCAGTTGAGACGCATTTTTTCTAAACACCGGGTCTCTGTGGCTTTTAAACCCCAAAACACGCTGCGCCAAAAA